GTAAATCATACATATGGTGCATCACCACTTCTACTTCAACACTGCGAAGTAACTGTGATGGACAATCTTTACGAGAGACCAACGCACTACCTACAGGCGTACACTGAAGTAATATTACTTAGTCTACAGTTCACATCCATATAGGGTTACAGGCATTGTCGCAGACATAAAAATAGTTTTCCTGTTAAATAGTTTAGCCCTTTACAGTGTATACAAACAACTGCTAATCATTTGGGATGTATATTACCACTTTTATAATTTTGATATACAACTGTACTACAAGGTTTATAGTTTTGACATGACACACCACATTACATAACATAGGTGATTCTGGGTCTCAAGTATGAAGTTCAAGCGATAAGTGATGAAGGAGATCTAGGTCAAAAACCAAATTGTAGGTCACAGTGATCTACATTTGATACACGGCACACCACCTGACCAAACGTAAATGCATATTTAAGTATGAAATTCCAGTGACAAATAGTGTAGAGGAAAGTGCTTGTTATCAGCTGGAATAATTGTGCCAAATCCAAATCTGATACAAATTAAGGTAACATGATAATAATGAAAATAATACGAATTCTCATCAATATCATTATTAAAATAAAAAATAACAAGACGCATCTGACTGATAACTATTGTCATTAAACTATGATACTTACCATGGTTCTCGTACCTTTCCTGATCTGTTGTGTAACACTGGTTATGTTCTAGGGACCCAGTGATATCATATCACTATGGCACGTCCTGTTATGTAAACCTGGTCCTATCGGTTGATTTTGCATGGTTATAAATATTGAATGCTGTTGCTGTATGAAATTGTTGTGCTTGTTATCATATGTCACAATTGAGTATATAATTTTCCGGAAAAGCTTCTGGATATATAATATCTAAATTCAATCGACCAACACCATTATTAATTGATTTTCCAGACAGGTAGTTGTTGTATGCAGCAAAAGTCATCTTTAATGTAGGACTGTATAAACATGTGTAATGGTTATATATGCACATTTCATATTGCGAACTTGTAACATTATCCTCAAAGATGATGCCACTTAGTAGAAAATGCCCGTCACATGCCATCTCGAGTAATAAAGTGTCTTTCACAAGACACCACACCAGCAAAAACTGGTCTTTTTCTCAGCTTCTTAAAAAGAAAGACAAACCACCACGATGGTAATGGACAATAAAGAAAGAATTTTGTGACAATACTTTTGCTTTTGTTGCAGTTTATTTTGGAGATAATGTGGTTTCCCATTGTGTCACATGGCGCGCTTTCAATTACTATTTGGTTCTGTCACGTACTTCTGTATGTTACCTGGGGATTGTGGGGTTGTGTGGGTCACGTTAGCGGTTTTGTGAGCTGTAAGCAGGTTTCGCCTGTCCAGGTGAGCAGTGAGGCCGTTATTGATGTCACCTGTTTGCCGATTTCATGGTAAACTTGGCGTCCTTTTTGGCATATTGAAAAGGAGCCCAGATATCTGACTGGGGTAATTATTCTTTCTGTCTTTCGTAATATGCGGTTTCTGTGGTCATGAAATGTGCATATATAACCATTATACATGTTTATACAGTCCTACATTAATGATGACTTTTGCTGCATACAACAACTACCTGTCTGGAAAAGTCAATTAATAATGGTAGCAATGGTATATGACTTGTAAATGAACATGTATTTCCGCCTGTATTATGTAATTATTCTTTCTGTCTTTCGTAATATGCGGTTTCTGTGGTCATTTATTGCCATATTTTCCATGTCCCCATCATAGGTCAATCCATCTATTATTGGTGAGTATTCGTTCATGCGTAGTCAAATGCATATTTATTTTGTGGATATAACGTTGAATTTGCTCTTTTTGCCGTTGAAGTTCTTATTGTACATCTATGTTTGCTATTATGTTAATGACTTAGTTGTTGTATGACTGCTAACTACCCATAGAGTCGCCATATTTGTTTCATGTAGAGATATTGTACTTTTGTTGAATTTTGATATTGAATCTCATCACGCACCGTATAACGTAGTTCTTTTGCATTGTCATACATATAATATTATATAAATATTAGTAGCGAATAATGGGTTATCACTTAATTGTAATTTTAGGTTAGTTATGGTAACTATAACGAGAATGGATGGATGAGTGCTCAGTGTTCCTTTCGTTTATTTTCAAAGCTTCACATGGCGGGTACAACACAGTAAAGGATACAGAAGGTCAGCATTATTGGAGCACCAGGTCTTCCGCATCCACTAACTGGACCGACTTACGTTAAGGTCAGCTGCAGGAAGTATTGTCTCATGAACATGGTGACATGCAGTTCCTCAGGAGACTGCTTATTGGAGTTGATAGCCCAGCCTCCAGTCCCACAGAGGGGAGAGATGCGCGTTACGTTTGCATTACTAGCAACCCGTCAGTGAGATGGGAACTGTGAATCATGTCACTTACTTAGGAACTGAGAGTCGTTCCGCTAATTGCCACACTGTGGCTGTGTATTTGTGAGAGATTTCTGTCGGTGAAGAGACTGTAGCTATATTTACATGTTGCCAAAGTGTATGAATGGAGTATGATTGTGAGTGCGAGTATGTTGATAGTTTTCTGTGTGTTTTCTACGTAAACAAACTGTGGTATATGTTCATTGTGTTATAGTTCTGTGATGATTTCCGGATATGCTGGACAGAGGCTTGTCCCACGTTAAAAATGGTGCAACAGAATGGCTGCTTTTATTAGATTTTTTATCAACAATATTTTGACATTTAACACTTGTTATTGATCACTGTTAAGGACACTCACGTTTACAGGTTTGATATTGTAATTAATCTCTGTAAAGTGTCACATTTACAGGTGTGGTATTGCTATTGATTTCTGTTAAGGGACACATTGATAGGTTCAATAGTGTAATTTTATTTCTGTTAAGGTTCACAATTACAGGTGTGATATTGATTTTTATTTCTGTTAAGGGTAATTTTTTCCGGTGTGGTATTGTTATGCATTTCTGTTTAGTGCGACAGTTACAAGTGTGATTTTGTTATTAATGTCTATTAAGTCTCACTGATACAGGTGTGTCATTATCATTAATCTCTGTAATGGTCACTGTATCAGGTGTGATTTTATTATAAGCACTGGCGTAGGCAAGGGGGAAGCAAAATGACCGCCCCCCAATTGCCCCAGAGGCGACCTTTGTGAAACGTGTAAATCCGTTGAGTTTTTATTTTTTAAAATTTTTTATGGGGTGGAGGGGGGGGTCCCATTTTTCAGTTTTCTGCATCTGTATTTTTCATATCTATATTTCAGTGATTTTATCGATTTCTACTTGCATGCTGTCGAAACTAACACCACACAAACTACACTCAGCTCAGGTAATAGAATCAGAGCTCTCACTTTCCCGTTAGCCGCGATGGAAACGGATGCAACAAATTATATGACAGGTCAGATTACATTCATCCCAAAATAACCGAACACATTTAGAATTTTTGTGTTATGTATGTTGTCATTTACTGATATTTCTTATTGATTGTTATGTACATGTAGTCCGACATTATTTTGTTTCCATTTGTATCTTTTCTAACTTTCATTTATTTCAATACATTATATCGACTTATCCCAGTATTATTGTGTCGTGATTTTCCTTCAAAATACGCTCAAAATGCAGGAAATGGAGCCAAAATTTTAAAAATTTTCTGGGGGAGGGCCCCAGACCCCTCGCCAAAGCTTTGCGCCCTCGGCGCTCGCGACGCACGGCTTCGCCGGCGTTGCCAGATTTTTGCCCTCCACCCCCAACATAAGATCCTGGCTACGCCACTGATTATAAGCATAAGTAACAGCTTACTGTAGCAGGTGTGATAATATTATTTATATCTCTAAAGGTTTGCTGTAACAGGTTTGACATTGTTACACTTGTTTTGACCTCACTGTAACAGGTGTGATTTTTTTCAGGGGCATCAACGTTGAATCACTCAATAATTACTGCGAGAATGTCTACGATTTTTCCCAGTAGCATCAACGACACCTCACTTGAAAGTCATTGACAAAAATCTACAGGTTTTACAGTGGCATCACCGGTTCATTCATTCCACAATCACTTACAGAATGCTCACTTTTTCAGTGGCATCAACGGTTCTATAACACGACAATCACAAAGGGCATGTCTGCATCTTTTAACACGACAATTACACGACAATAACACGACAATCACAAAGGGCATGTCTGCCTTTTTTCAGTGGCATCAACGGTTCTATAACACGACAATCACAAAGGGCATGTCTGCCTTTTTTCAGTGGCATCAACGGTTCTATAACACGACAATTACAAAGGGCATGTCTGCCTTTTTCAGTGGCATCACCGGTTCTATGATTCGACAATCATTAAGAGAATATCGAAGAGTTTTTACAGTGCCACCGACGACTCCTCAATCATTCGACAGTCATTGACAAAAAATCCAGAGGTTTCCAAGATTTTTTCAGTGGCATCAACGAATCAACCACTCGGCAATCAGCGAAGGATTACTTAAAGTTACCCAAATTATATCAATCAATGAAAACTCTTGCCCTGTATTTGACAATCTTTGAAAACCGTTAATGTGTTGTAAAAAATTAATGATCGTCTTCATGAACCTGGACTTTAAACAATCAACAAAATGGATTAAATACTTTTGCTATTGAGGTTATAAAAGCGACTTGGATGCTTTTTGACCACGTCAACAAGGATACTGATATAGATAAATAATTATACTTTGTGGTCAATGTAGTCCTTATATTTCATAATGATATGTGTTATCATGTAATCGGATCAGAAAAAAAAACAGCAAGCATTTTCAATTTGAATCAAAGGTATAGGAATAGGACATATTTAACCATCTGTTCTAATCACTTGATTCCGAAACTGACGAGAAATAAACAAAGATTGCTTTTACGCATCATGTTTTCATTAAATTTGAATGATTATTATGAAATATAAATATCGATATAGGAACATCAGGAAATAAAAACGTTGAATAGATTGATATGATCAGTGTGATATCAGCCGTGTCAGGTCCATTATCAAAACAAAAAGTATAGGTGCAATAACTAGCAAGGTTGATGCATATCCGATTGACTGTGATGATCCACGTGTGTCCCTTGCACATGATTTCTTTCGGTGTGTTGAGGTCAAGGATGTGACATCTAAAATCATTTGCTTTTTCATTTGTCTTATCAGTGTTTTGAAGGCTACATCGCCAATGTTGAAATATCCAGTACCAGTGCAGTTGCACGAACACATCTCTCCATTTAGAAATGTCGAAGCAATGCTCTGTGTAGCATTATCTGTTGTCGATACTGACGCTGTCTCACTAAATGTATAAGAAGTGACTGTTGATTTGGTGTCAAATGTCACTGTACCTTGTGTATTTGTTGTGGTTGTTGTTGTGTCATATGTTGACGTCTCCTGTGTGTCTGTTGTTGTTTCCTGTGTGTTTGTTGTAGTTGTCGCCTGTGTGTCTGTTGCTGTTTCCTGTGTGTCTGTTGTTATCGCCTGCGCGTCTGTTGTAATTTCCGGTGTGACTGTTGCAGTTGTCGCCTGTGTGTCTGTTGTTGTTTCATGTGTGTCTGTTGTTGTTTCATGTGTGTCTGTTGTTGTTATCGCATGCGCGTCTATTGTAGTTTCCGATGTGACTGTTGCAGTTGTCGCCTGTGTGTCTGTTGTTGTTTCCTGTGTGACTGTTGTAGTTGTCGTTCGTGTGTCTGTTGTAGTTGTCGCCTGTGTGTCTGTTGCTGTTTCCTGTGTGTCTGTTGTTATTTCCTGTGTGTCTGTTGTAGTTGTCGTTCGTGTGTCTGTTGTAGTTGTCGCCTGTGTGTCTGTTGCTGTTTCCTGTGTGTCTGTTTCAGTTTTCGCATGTGTGTCTGTTGTTGTTTCCTGTTTGTCTGTTGTAGTTGTCGCCTGTGTGTCTGTTATAGTTGTCGCCTGTGTGCCTGTTGTTGTTTCCTGTTTGTCTGTTGTAGTTGTCGCCTGTGTGTCTGTTGTTGTTTCCTGTGTGTCTGTTGTAGTTCTTGCATGTGTGTCTGTTTTTGTTTCATGTGTGTCTGTTTCAGTTTTCGCCTGTGTGTCTGTTGTTGTTTCCTGTTTGTATGTTGTAGTTGTCGCCTGTGTGTCTGTTGTAGTTGTCGCCTGTGTGTCTGTTGTTGTTTCCTGTGTGTCTGTTGTTGTTATCGCATGCGCGTCTGTTGTAGTTTCCGGTGTGACTGTTGCAGTTGTCGCATGTGTGTCTGTTGTTGTTTCCTGTGTGACTGTTGCAGTTGTCGCCTGTGTGTCTGTTGTTATTTCCTGTGTGTCTGTTGTAGTTGTCGTTCGTGTGTCTGTTGTAGTTGTCGCCTGTGTGTCTGTTTTTGTTTCCTGTGTGTCTGTTTCAGTTTTCGCCTGTGTGTCTGTTGTTGTTTCCTGTTTGTCTGTTGTAGTTGTCGCCTGTGTGTCTGTTGCAGTTGTCGCCTGTGTGTCTGTTGTTGTTTCCTGTTTGTCTGTTGTAGTTGTCGCCTGTGTGTCTGTTGTTGTTTCCTGTGTGTCTGTTGTGGTTCTTGCATGTGTGTCTGGTGTTGACCTCGCCTGTGTTCTTGCCGTTGTCCTTGTTTCTGTAACAGATGTAATCATGTTGTAGGTTTACCACACATATGAAAAACACGTTTCAATAGAAGTTTAGAATCAGATACATTAAAGACAAATAATAATCAACTTAATAATACAGATGTTTTGTCCTTTAAAGATTAACTTTGAAAACCTAGGAGGTAATCCAAAGTAATGGAAAGTTAAATAAAGTCTGATGAGGAGGTGCACTAGCCCTGAAATAGAATACGATTTTGTAAATTTCCATTAATACATGTTTATTCTATTTATGAATAATTAAAAGTAAATATCTATCACACCATTGACTGTCTCGTGAACAGTTTTGAGTTTCCTACTGTATATTAATTAGTCATTTAATGGTTTAGTATTGCACTAATTGCAACAGAATTTATCATCATATGTCCATTATGATTGACATATACATATACAGTAACAGTAGAAGGGTTTTTCGGCAGTTAACATTGAAAAAGCGTTATTTATGACAAAATAGTCAAAACCTCACTAGAAAATAACTCATTCGAAAAATTGCTCCAGGAATATTGCTAAAAGGCATTCAAATGTTAAACAGTTTAAAGAATTGAATACACATCAAAACATTTTTATTGGACTGCATTGATCTTCTGTCTACTCGAGAACTAAAAACCCATTTTGAAACTGTTCAGATTTGTAGAAGTCTATGTTATCTGAAAAAATTTGGTCTATATAATAGACTATGACTTACCATTTTAGTCTTTTATGATAATATACTCTTTAAAATTTTTTGGCATTTGTTTTAGTTTGCAGGATTTCCTTTTTGGATCGCTGTGTGTTTTATTGGTTGATGGCCCTAATTACTTTTCATGCGTTGACGGGCCGTTAACTATGTCATTATGATAATAATAATTATTATTATATCAACACTTAAAATATGGTTTATAAATTGAAGAGTTTCATAAATGAGGGACTTTGTTTCCATACATCTAACGGACCTAATTGGACATCGCAAACACGGGTGAATATCTGAGGTGTTTGGTATGATGCTCCCTACTCGTGATGATTTGTGTTTTTTTTTGTTTTGTTTTTGGAAACTCAGAATGGGACTGCTTGGTGGTCTTAGGTCAACATGTACCTTGCTGATGGCGGAGTGGTAGACTCGGTTAACCGATTCCGCTCACCAAATATCATAAGCATAATATCAACTGTTTAAAAGATATTTAAACGTCATTCTGTGCATGTTATTCGTAGCAGAAATTCTAGTTTATGATTTTTTCACAAAACTAATGTTAAGCATTACTGATGCAAAACATTAACACTTATAGTGTTATCTTTCAGTTTCTTGGCGTGCTATTAGGTCACATTGATCGGTGAAATTGCTTACGCATCATGAATATACTTGTTTTCTTTGTATATCTTGGTTTAAAAAGATACAATATTAACACATTAGGTCAATAGAATCAAGATATATCATAAGAACCTAACCCTTGATCATAGTGAAGATGAAAGGGATATGGTTAGGGGTAATAGCAGATTTGTAAATGAGAAAGAGATTATTTATGTGAACATCAAGGTAAGTATGTAGATATCATTAAAACACAATTTATCATGTACCTATCAAATTATAGTTTTTGTTAAAGTCGTGTAAGAGTTATGTCCCTTCTTTGATAAACAATTAAAATTTGTACTATGCGTATCTTTTTACCCTAAACCCTAGAATTATAGGCACAAGTATTGATATATTCGTATTTACGTACAAAGCAATTAACATGATGTTGCGATGAAATCGAAGAAATTACGGTAAAATAAAAGAAATCATTTTAATTTTGGTAACATTTTTTTGAGTATTAGTACATTGACGATGTTCTTGTACAGTATACGTTACGTGCAGTAGTAAACCGCCTATGACAGCACATCGAGAGTTGCCAGAATAATAATAAAGGGTTATATTAACGATCATATTTAACAAATAAAAATAATGATTACTTCCCCAAAATGCGTATACGTATACGTTTCATTATCTGGGTTAGTATATTTATATATAGTTATTGTAGATACCTCTTATATCCAGATAATAATGCATTGTCAACATTGCGATATATACACCAATAGTAGCAAATACACGTGCTAGAATATTCATATATTATCACAAATGCGAGGGAGCTTTGTTGTGTCTACCAGAATCGGGATACAAAATGTAAAAGCGATGTTTGATGATTGTAAGCATTTTGCATATATGTTGAGATATTGCTGAAAGTAGATGATATTTGAGCAGCTATTAACTTGGAAAGTCCCGTTCTTGTCAATGTTTCATTAAAGACATCTTGCAATTACTGGTTGTAATGATGTCCCTTTTGGAAAAGTACTCAATAGCAATCAATACATTAGAAACTACGAATACCTTAATCAATATTATGGGGAAGTCTTGCTGTCGTAATTATTTCATCAGGAAATATTTTCTTGTGTAAAGTTTATTACGAGATATCACTAGTTTAGTGGTGCTTTTGCTATTTACATTGCTCTCATTTCGGAACATGACATTATTTACTTACCAAGAATAACATGACGGTGAAGTCGATGAAGCAAAAGACGCTTACAATTTCGGAACACCTGCTCTTCTTATCTTTGTACGTTTTTATAGAAGTCTTTATGTAAACATATTTTGTTCATAATGTGCCCTAGAATAATCTAATTTGAGTTTGTATTAGGATTATATAAGCATTTCAATGTTTTCTTTGCTGTTTTCCAACACCGAATAGTGCATTTATCATAGAAAATATTGCAAGTATTTGTTGGCTATATTCTGGACAATATACATGAGATTTGTTCATGCCACCATATGAGACATTTTCTTTGAGAAACACAAATCATCCAGAGTGGAAATCGTTGAACTAACACCTTTAAATATTTGAACAAGCATGCGAATCCAAGCGCTCTACCCACTCAGCTACTGTGGTCCCCAGTTTAAGGAGCGCTTAGGTGGCAGGACACATTATTTCATAAAATGTGTGTATTTCAGTAGTAAATAAATTCTAATGTAAACGTGGGAATCATTCTTTTGCTATGATTAATATGTAGGCAAGGTAGGGTCGAGGCAAGTTCTTGTTGCAGCATTAAACACGAAATTCCCGTGGAATGATATTTCACTGATAATGCCATCAAAATATTTGTAGAATTTGTTTGGATCACTGTCATAGCATCTCTGGTAAAATAAAAATGTCACACTTTCCAAAATATTTAATTATATTGAGGTAGAATATTAAAAAAAAAACAAAAAAACTTATCCTTGTACTGACCCAATCCTGTCGTTATATATAGCTAGTAAATCTCGCAGTGATTTCATGGTCACAAAAATATATTTTCTTATATCGTTACTGTTTCTGATTCGTCTTGATGTTCGAAAAATATTGATTGATATTTTTGCCCATGACGTACAATGTAGAATTTTTCATTGATAAATTTCAATAGCAATTCACTTTAATGAGGACCGGATTGTTCGGAAACAGCATAATTTAAACAACGATGTATACAACAAACTGCCGAAACGAAAATTTTAATTGCAACAAATACATGTCAATATTGACGAGACTACGTTTTAGTTGAAATAGTGATTTTATTAAACAAATATTTGCGCCGTCATTCAGCATAGAAGAGGAAACGTAATACAAACAAAACACTAATCGTACCTGAACTTCCTTGACAGGGAGAATACACTGGTGAGTCTTCAAAAACACACGTATATAAGAACGGATCCCACACCAGGCTGTCAATGCAGGATCGATAGATCCATGCACCATTTTCACATACGTAGTACACTTGAGGATCTGTCGGATCACATCTGAATTCCACACCGTTGCAAGCATTCGCTACTTTGGGGACAAAAACGGAACTTTCATTATTGGAAGTTATCATAAATATAATATTTTTTTAAAACTATTAATGAAGTTATAAGTTAGTAGGTTATTAACTCTCAGACGTTTTGCACTGTTTTGACGTATTGTTACGAGACGAGTTCTAATATCTAAGGATGGTCTTTTAATCGTCCATATATAGAACGCAAGGTTTCCGAATTACCGAACAATATATACCTGACACAAAACTCCTAGTTTACACCATATCGTGATTTACCTTAATATAGCTTTCTTCAATTGCAGGGTAATTTTGGACATAAATATTTTGATTTGTAATTAAACAGATTAGGATTATGTTTATAATGAATTTAAAAACGCGAGACGACATACTTGTTTAATGTTTTCCCGTCCGTACATATTAGCTGGTTCATAGGATACACTATACAATTTTACAATATTTTTACTTTTAAAATTCAGAAATTGTCTCGAAAGCACAATAAGGTTTAGAGTTCCTTCAGGGACAATGGAATTTTGCATTTAGTGAAAAGGTCCATAGGGACTGTGCTACGACACATTTAGTGTCATAACCACAGGAGTATGACACGGTTCAGGCTTTCATAAAAAAAATATCTAAACCACTCGCCTTTGTGGGGAAGACATTTTGTCATGTCTTTGTGGCGTTTTTTTGTTAACCCCATATTGGCTTTTTATTATAAATACTGAAAAAATAATCTTTTGTTCATTTTATGGTTTATGTAACTGTAAGATATGTTTTTCATTTCCTAAATAAATACAAAGTCACCCTGTCTGTAAGGGTGGCCTTTTTCATTCATATTCATTGTTGTGTCGTTTCTTGTCGTAGTGTGCAGATACATAAAAATATTTAAACCACAACGTACATTATCAAATGATATACTGTTTGCTGAACAAGGCTCATTTTGACTATATGGTGGTTTCAACATTGAAAATTATGATTTGTTTTTACATTTTTGCAGCTAAGACAATTTTTAATGAACTGAAGTATGTACTTCCAGTTTGAATGCACCAAAAATCTTTATATATTACTTGGCACTTTCTGTCAAGAATATTTAGTGAACATTGCAGGAAAATAGAGAACTAGTAAATGTCATTTAAAAGCTTAAATATTAGTTATTCAAATTTAGCCCTTTTTGTTAGGGTTTGACAAGGGCCAGTATTTCCTCCAAAAATCTGTTAAAACAATAATGTACATAGTCATAAGTTGTCAGTTGTTAATAAGTAAATTATGATACAAGTTTCAATGTCAAAAATTAATAGAGATATTGTGAACTAATAAAAATTAACAGTCTCAAACTTAAGAAAATGACAAGTTTTCCACATAACAAAAAGTTTTCTTGAAAGAAAAAAACCCATTTTTTTAGCGCACCAAATATTTGTATCAAAATTCATTTGGCTCATTATCGGAAGACACTGAAAATTTACTATATTTCAAGAAATTGCATGTTCATAAGATGATAATATCGTTTTAGAGGCATGTAAACGATCCTTGTAATATATTATCTCTACAACATTTTTCTGGAGAAAGTGCCAATAGTCTTGATCAAAAGAGAAAATATAAAACCTGGTTTTATAATTACCTCTTACGTTGTGTTGGTATATTTAATAATTCCAAGGAGGTGATTTCATTGTACTGACTTCACAAAATGTTATATGCTACAAATGCGTTGAAGGAGTTTTTGCCTGTTCAGGTGCATGTGATGTCTTAAGTAGTAAAGAATTGAGGCAACACGAGTACACATACCAGATGTTCTCTAGCCTACAGGACGGATGCAATAATAAAATTTCACATGATCGTCAGGATCATGCTCGTCAACCTGAATCCAAACGTTTTATTTGGTTTAAGGCTTGTGACGTGAACGGATCTGTCCACAAACAAGATCATCTGCATGCTGGTAAACACAGACTTCATAGTCACCACATTCTGTTTGGTGCTCAGAAATGTAACCAGGCGACAGCGTGATCTGATATATGTCGCACGCAATCGTCTTCAGGTATTCTAAAATCAAGTGAGGAAATGGAACGTTGGATGCTTCCAGCTTCTTCCGCTCTAATTTTTCCCTGCGCGACATGTATGAATCGTCCTCAAACCTCTTTGCTAGGAGATTGTCTTCTTTCACACGTACAAGCATGCGTTGTGCCATCTTTATGTCTCGTTGCTCACGCTCTACTTCAGGCTAGGATATTTATCGTATAAGGATGTTAAGAATGCTTAACAATGCGGACCAGCTTGTCAATAACTTGGATGAAGTTATTGGATGGTTGTTGGTTCCTGAAAAGCACCCATCATTTAAACGGTCGTGGTACAATTCATTAATTCATCTAGTTTTGGGCACAAACGATCAGATCATTGCTTGCCAGCTGGCAAGAATATCACTAAAACCTCTGTCTACTATGACATTGTCACTGTCGTGCAGCAAATGCTTAAGAACATTCAGTAATGGGCTTTTTTATTGTTGTATCAATGATGCCTCCATCACAAGGGTCAATAGTGTTCAAAACATATTCATCGGGCAACAAAATGGACATGAATTCAAGTAGTTTCGTTTTTTCTTTCCTCCATAGGAAGCCGTCTGGAATTGATGGACATTTCTCTTGTTGATGTAAATATATGTACCTTCAAATATGATGATGACCTTTCTCCCGTAAAATGCTTTTGTGAAAGCTATGTTGAGTGTAAGGGCCTCTTCACGTGAGATATGGGAAGTACAAAGGAATCTGGGCACAATTATTCTGTACAGAATATCTACAACTTTGTGAAAAAAATCTAGATAGTAAGGTTTGGGATACATATGTAAAGACAGTCATTTCATTCCATGATAAATTGGCTTTTTTATTTTGCCCATAAGTAGAAGAATGTATCTGGCAAACATAAACTGTCAGTCTGAATCAGACACGTTCCTAAACCGCAATTTTGGTGAATTGCTTTGAGTGGATACCTCGTGAATGAGTGCAAGTAGATCATTTATGACTAATGCTGAAATAGTGTCATCCAATTTATCTCGTAGTGAACTTCGGTTTACTCTATAGTATCGGGATGTAAAAAAAAAACTCCCAATGAGGTGTTCAGGACAATACGAACATCGGGAGAGCACCAAAGTCTATGTTTGATGACTAGACTGTGGCGTGCAGATTCGGGTATATTTACCCATTTGTCATTATTACTAAGACTACAGATTGTCGTCACTCAAATGTGGGATAGTGTCTGTGAATGTCTCAGCATTATCTGCATTGCCACTAGTGATATTCCCGGACTATATTCTGAAGATGGAGCTTCGTCATATCTGGAGTAGACATTGTTTGTATCTGGTCTTGGTCTTTATTTTAGATACATTGTATAATACCTTTTTCAAATCTTGTTATCGGTTTCCACTGATAAGTTCTCGTTTTAGTCTACTATTATGTTGTGAATCAAGACTCCTAGGCAATTTTTGGGTTAAGTCATTGTCTTTGAAACTTGTGTGGCAATTTTTAATGATGCCCTTGTTACCATTTTGATGCAATTACTTGATTGCTTTGAATATTGGTACAAGATACTTGTACATGCTGATATATTGTTCTTCCTCTCACTACCAAATGACGAGCTGTATGAATTCAAGAATCATTAATATAGTATAATATACTACAGGAATTAGATGAAATAAGTCCACACTCTGTTACTGTTCAGGCATGTCTTTTATGTAAGACGACTATTTTGGCATCACTGTTTTTCGATAACTACCTCTAGGCTCTATATACATATGTAAGCCCTGTTCGTTGTTGTTGGTTTAAACAATATTTTATTTCCAGATTTTCATTTACAACATACACATACACACATTATAAAATTGAAAATGGATCTGGCAACAAAATTATAAATCGTATATTAAGCCATCTCTTGTTGTTGTTATATTACATCATTTTAATACATACAATTCAATGAAAATTGTAAATGATAAAAGTTCGCAAATTAAAGTTAAAATATTTTTTCGGTAAACCGTTGCTTTGTCATAATACTGTTTTATGATAGATAATTTTACTCTTCTTCATTGCATTTTCTTGAATAGTAACTTTGATCAAGCCTTTGAATAGCAATTTTTCAAGTTCTCATTTTTTTCTGAAATTTCCGCTAATACATTTCAGATGAGAAAAATGATTTGAGAAAAATATTTGAAAATGAAAATAGATTTTTCTTTCAGTCTCCAGCCTTCATAAACTTATCCTCTGGTGGGAACACAATGCCCAAAAATTTCCTTATCTTAGAACCTGTTTGAAAATGTCATATTTTTTTAAAGTTCGAGATGATTAACTTTTATTAATTAACATTATCTATATTCATTTTTGGCATGGGAACTTGAAGCAGAATGTACTTATTAAGAACTGATATCATATTAATATGTACACCATTGTTTTCACCGATTTTTGGAAGAAATATTGACCCCTAAAATATAAACACTAATATTTTGGCTTTTGAATGGCACCTTTACTGCTTCTGATTTTTTTCACAAGTGTTCTTGACATAAAGGGTTGTGCACCCAAACTTGAAGTACTTGCTTCAGTTCTTTGAAAAATTGTCTTAGTAATAATGTCATAAATATATGTATCAAACAAAATAATTCATACTTTTTCCATTTTGAAACTATATGATTCTTTTTTATCCGCAATATTTTTATACACATTTACCATCATATTGTCTCACTGATCCTTGCTTATCAAGCAGTATGTCATTTGGAAATGGTTTTGATACTTTTTTCAGATGAAAAACTGAACCCTGTCATACCCTTCAGTTACTACACTAAATAGGTCGTAGCAAAGGCCACTCACGGTGCTCCATATACCACCTGTGTTTATTTAATTGGATGCTCGGACAAAACGTCTTTGTTCCTGAGAGAGATCAATTGATAAGATTTAAATGTAAATATTTTCAATACCTTTCTTATCATCGGGTTGTTAGGAAGCAATATCATTTGAACAACAATGTAAACAGCAAAATTCTACAGGGGAAAATAACTACAACAGATGCACTTCAGTATTGATGAGATGACATTAAAGTTGAAATAGCGATTATGGTGAACAAACATCATTAAGCATAGGAGAGGACACGTAATACAAACCACACTTATTTTACCTGAACTTTCTTGACAGGGAGAGTACACTGGTGAGTCTTCAAAAACACACGCATATGAGAACGTATCCCACAACTGGTTTTCTTTGCAGGATTGAAAGATCCACGCACCATTTTCACATACGTAGTACACTTGAGGATCTGTCACATCACACCTGAATTCCGTACCGGTGCAAGCATTGGCTACTTTTGAAAAAAAACAAGCATCAAGTAAATAGGTGATTAACTCTCCGGGTAACAAACAATTAATTAACATCATTCTACGTAATTAAATAGTTTGCACCCATACAACCGTCGTTCTCATCATTCATGCACCCGTCAAAGAAAAAGTGGGTGAACATGCGTTTGCAACATACAAATCGTGATTAGATTATTTTAAGCAATTGCTCCATGATTATATGTCTCTTATAAAGTTTTCCAGCAAACGATATAAAAACACCATTACAATATAAAAGATTTTCGTATGTATCGGATATAAACGGATTTGAAACTATTATAAGTTATAACTATATGGTATGGTACTAAGTATGCATATCGTTTATCAGTCTTTATCACCAAAACAAGAAGGCCTACAGGCGATTGGGAATTTAGAGTCGCTCCGTCTTAGTGAAAATACAACCAACCAAATCAATAGATACATATATGAATAGATAAATTTATTTAGCAAATAAGACTGAAATTAAAGAATCAGATTTCGTGTACTTCACAAAATGAAAATCATACTCCACGTATTTTTTGTTATTTGACTGGGTTTACGAAAAAGCACTGTCGATTTCTTACAATATCTGTACATTAAGAATCTAAAACTGTTTAAACCATTGCTTGCCGTTTTGGCATAGTTTGAAAACGGTTTCAGAGTTAACCAGACTTATTGCCCTGTTGTGACGTAACGCTACGAGGCGATTTCCAATATCTGATATTTAGGGATGGTCTTTAAATCGTCCACATATAGGTTTCCGCAGCATTGTAAGTGCCAAAAAACTCCCAGTTTAAACCATATCGTGATTGACGTTACTACAGCTTTTTCAACTTTAGGGTAATTTTTGAACAAAAATACCTTGATCTGTATATGAATATATCAGGATTTTATCTTAATACATTAAAATCGCGAGACGACGTACTTGATAAATTGTGACATTTTTTGGTTGTAGTTATGACAATGTTTTCATTTCGACTTCAAACCGATATTTTACAACCGGGAACAACTGTTTTTTTTTTTTTTTTTTTTCAAATTTCGCTGAATTGACCAACTTAAAGAAAAATCTCAGTCCAAAAGCAAACTTATGGAATGTTTTCCTGTCCGTACGTTTAAACTGGTTCATAGGATACGCTACAAAGTATTTACGTTTTAAATTTAGAAATTGTTTCGAAAGTGCGATGAGGAAATTAAAGCAAAGACAACGGATAAGTTTTGATTGTAAGTATTTTCATCAGCATTAGAGAAATTTCATTGAAACATTAACAGCTAGTTTGCTACTTACCTTGATACTGAAAGCATAGGAAGGCAACATAAGTTCCATTTATCCACCAATAATTCTGAAACGGAAAACATCGTGTTTTGTTCATACTTATACCTAAGTGAAGAAGATACTTTCTAAAACCATCTCACCATGTTGAAGTCTACTCCTAATGTGTATCTACATAGTGGAGATATTGGGGAAACCTGTGTATATCGATTTATTGGCCAATTAGTGCAAGAGAATTAAATAAGTCAATAAAAGTAAGACCCAATATGACACTGAACAAACATACATTAAAAGGTCCACAAGAATAATCACTCATTATGTCACGAAACACTTCGATCTACAAAATCCTGTCTCACCAATACGCTATACTAATTGTACCAAAGCTCGATGCTTCCAATTTCATAACCTGAAGCCTACGAAATTCAAATGGAAATAAAAATACATGTATTTCAGTATTTCATTTGTCTTTTTATTACTTCATTTGGGTAACTTTCCAAGTTTTTTTACTTTATTTACCTTACAAATCTTATAGTACCTATAGTACTGATTTTAATGTACAAGTAATAGTCTGTTTGTCCAGAAGATCTCGCAATATGGACTGACAAATGTCGGGCCCTCCTCATTGTTACAACTGCAAAGCTACCATTAACACAGGTGTTCCGAGTTGCACTATGGGAAGCTCCAACGGAATGTCTGCAATCTGCATTCATCAAGGCTAGAACAACTACTCACACGTTGGTTTATCTGTAAAGGACTTTGAACACAGATTGAACTTATAGTGTAAATGAAAGAAAGAAAGACAATTGATGAAAGCATCTCACAACATAGCTTTAAATGGTTCTCTGCCGGTAAAACTAAGGAACTAGAATGTTTTCCCATATGTTTCTAGTTGTCAACATCATTGTCGAGTTTGGTGGTAACATCTTCCAACAAACTATTGGCATAGCAATGGAACCGACTGTGACTTGTTTCTGTGTCATGCTGGTTATCTGATAATAATAACCCATAAAGTATCTGTCTGAGAAGATTTTTTTTTGTTGAAGACATTGATTACATTTCAAGAATAACGTCGAAGTGTGGTGGAAAGGAATATACATGTACTAAATTTGTCTTGAGTATTATAAGAATACGTTGAAATTAAGTTTTCAGTGTGTCATAATCAAATTCAAACAAAGAAAAACATTCAGCAATAAATCATCAAGTCAAAGTGGATTACGTTTCGCCATAATAGAGCTGATCTTAACAGGGTTTGAGAAATCGAAGACCGTAATACAAGGTTATATGTCAATCAACTTATACTTAAACTTCCTCGAGCACCAAATGACTCAATGAGTCTGTGACACATGTATATGTTGTTCACTGTCCTACATCTTAATTCCTCCTCGTATATCTGACTGACGGCCTTTACGTTATACTTTGAGTTATATGTTAATATTGTGGGGTTTTCAACAATTTTGCAGCATATACATCAACCTTTTTAAATAACCGGGGAACTGTATTAATTTATTGATTAATGCATAATAAATAGTTATGTCTTCAATATTTACTCCACAAATAAAGAAGTACACGGAGACTCAGCAAAACTACAAAAAGAAAACGACCAGGAGTTCCGGAAGGTAAGCGTCTTCTACTTCCTAGCCAATCAAAATAGAAAATCCGATTTTACATTCCCGAAAGTAGATTCACACTCACAACATATTTTGTGACCCTTGAGCGGAATATCCCTATCCTACATATAAGTCTCTCATATCAACTTCAAACTTTTTCTCGGTATATTACAGAATAAATACGTCATTTGCTGATAGAAAAAAAATTGCATGTGAGTAATTACATTGTATTTAGTATGAGAAGAGAGACATCCGCGATTTAAGTTGTGTGTCAAGTACTTTTTCTAATCAACAGGGAAGTTATCGACCACGTCACATATTTGATCCTTTTACCGTTGTAATAAAAACATTTCACAAAATTGTTCGTGAATATTTTCAAATTAGTGGTCCATATGATAACCCTTATATACGGTACAAGAGTTTTAGGTTCCCTACAAATTACTTCATTTGTCCAAATTCCCTGTCTTCTACATTTTCTATATATCAATCATTTAATCCTATGATATTTCAGTGCTGGAACAGTCGTGGTAATATTCTACTGGCAAATGCTACAAAACTATTGGACCAAATAACCATCGTAAATCAACTGACTTTATGTTGCCTGTTCAAGCGTCGACCCGATTGTAAATTATTCATGTTGATAAAAAAAACCGGTCAGATTTGTCGACGTGATCATTCTGTGGGAATTTACAAAACGTTAAGGCACTTTGGTTTTGTTAAGGTATGGAAATTGGACTGTCAGCATAATCACAGTCCCTTTTACGATATTTGAATACCCTTGTCATACCTGTCTTACTTTGGATCATCAACATAATCACAGTTCGCTTACAATATATGACTACTCTAGTAATAGCTGTCCTGCATTGGACCACCAGCATAATCACAGTCCTGCGAATAATATGTGGCTATCCTAGTCACAACTGTCCTAATTTGGGCATCAACATTGTAAAACATAGCAAATGAAACTTTCGTTCATTCATTTATTGATCTTTTGTCAATATTTTCAACCAATAGTATATATCATTATTATCAGGGACGTATCATATGTCCCCTTCCCCATTATGACCAATTTGTCAAACGGTCTTAAGTATAGACAAATGTTAATAAAATTATATCATACTGCACAAAAAATAATAATAAATCAATAGATGAAATATAATAATGATAAAAATAAATGATAGTGATAAGTGAGCAAGTACACATAAAGCACATTTTTCTTATATCAAAGGGTTATTATTCTAAATAAAAAGGATATTCAAACCAATATAAAGAACTGATCAGAGGTGTTTCCCTCTATAAGATGGCAACTGAAATACTGGAACTAAATCAGAAAGAACAAATAATAATGGAAAAAAATTGGAAAAATAAATAACAAAGTATTAAATAGACTTTAAGTCTCTCTCTTACCAAACAAGAGATCTAGACCCCACAAATTTCGGAATGATAATAATAACAATAATGATAAGGCTCTAATTGATATTTGCACAAACACGTACAGGGATAGACATGCAATGTCTCTTACTAAGTAATCATCGAAATGATATGCAAAGAAATGCAGCGAAATTCAAGATATCCGCTACAGTGATAACGAGATTTTATATCAGAGGACATTGGAGGCGTTTTTACCAGCCAACGAGCCACTGCATTGGTAGTTCTACTATATCTTCGGTAAATCGTATGGGTCGCCGATCTGTTGGTACATATCTTGTTCAGGACACTTTTTCTCTAAATCCAGTGTTTCATAATCAATCGTCGAAATATTGACTGTTTTGTTTGGTAGTTCTTCGTAAGTGTGACTGTTGACGTCCACAAAAACCGGGGAGTCATATGTTGACATAGTGTTGTTTTTCACAGCTTCTCCTCTTAAAGAAGACCTGTAAAAATTAAATCAGAAAATTCATAGTCAATTATTACCAACTGCGTAAGTAGATTAG